TGCAAGGGTAAGTAGAATACTGGTCACTCCCTGGGGCCTCTGTAATGCCACCAAAAGCCTGAGAGATGCAAGGATTCTGCTGCAGGCCTCCGTGTTTATGCGGGTGGGTGGGGTTGTTGCACATGTGTCTTCTGGCATGCCACTATGTCCCCATGTTGCATGTAGGTCTTGGTCTATTGTGCATGCAATGTGGATGTGCCTGTCATCACTGTGTCCCCGGGTGGGTGTGAAAGCTTAGGTTCTCTCTATATCATTACCATAAAACTATAATTCTTTTAATTGTCACTCACATATCCTGCTGGCCTTTGAAGCCCAGCAGGCTGCGGACATCTTCCTTCTTGAACCTCAGAGCACAGTGATTAAAATGGTGGGCATTGGAGCCAGACAGCCCTGGGCCCCAGAGCCTCTTCAAACTCGCTCAGCTGCTGTGGGATCCTGAGCAAGTAACTCCGCCTCTCTGAGCTTCAGCTGCTTTGTTTGTGGAGAAGGGTTGTAAATGGCCACTATCTCCCAGGTTATGTGAGTCACCTACGGGACTGACTAGGCATCGTTAATTGACAAAGGAAGTGTCTTAGTGTTGTAGAGACAAACGAGGCAAGGCACCGAAGATAGCAGGAGACAGTTTTATTTGGCTGCAGCCAGGTTCAGAGGGAACAGCTTTTGCTGTAATCAATCGATCCCCTAAACCCCGAGTTCAGGGAGTTTCAGAGTTTTATACCCAGCGTGTATATAACTTCTGAGGGGCTCAGAAGTTCAAGGTCTGCAGAAGTTCACAGAAAATCAGCTTTTTCTTTCACTATTCTGGGCAAGTTAACCCTTCAAGGACAACACCTGAGAAGGGGAGAGCTTCATCTCCCCCTTCTTTCCTCCCCCTGCCAGCTGTTACCATGGGCCCATTTGTAACTTATCTTAAAAATGTAGTAGACATCTCTGTGAAGCCCAGCTCAAGGCCAGAGGCCTTGTTTGCACATTTCTTCAAAGTACTATACTGAATATGTTTGTGAAAAACTAGTAAGGGGTGTCCAGCACCTGGAGTGCTGGTATCTTCTCGGCCAGTGGCCAAGTAAACAAGATGACATTAAAATAGGAAGTTTATCTACATTGGACTCTTTTGCTGACAGTCCTAAAATCAGCCATGGTGGAGAGGGCTTTTCTGTGCAGAAAGGGGGTGCCACTTCATTAGGAGAACGGAGGCTCAGGAATGAAAGGGCCCAACTCAGTTCCAGGCTCCTGAGTCTCCCTGGGGAAGTGGCCTTCAATCTCCAGGGTCCTGAGGATCCTCCAGGCTGCACAGAGGGCCTCTTTCTGTGAAGTAAGAGAATGTGCATGCCTGGGGCACCACCACCCCTCCTTCCCTTCCTTGCTGGAGAGCACAAGAAAGAGTCCTGTGAGGGACAACTGGGCCCTTAAGTAGACATATTCATCTGGCCCATGGGCCTTGCCCTGAAAATCCCTAATTAGAAAATCACTTTCTAGTGCAACGGGCTGGAGTGGGGCCTAAGAACTTATTTCCTGGTAGCTACTTCTAACTGCCCACCTGTTTTGATTCCCCAGGAGCAGCAGAGGCTACCCCACCTGCACACTGCAGAGGGGCAGGCTGGGAGGGAGGGGGCACCCAACATGGCCTACTGAGAGCAAGCTCCTGCAGAGGGCCAGGCCACCGCCAGAGGCCCTGTGCCCGGGGCAAAAGTTCCCTGCCAGGAGGATGCTGCCCAGAGGTCCTCAGGCACCAGTACACCCTGCCTGCCCCCTCACCCCTTTCACGCTGCCAGGTACCTGCATGAGGAACGCTATCAAATCATTCATTCGTTGAATTTGTATCACAGATATTAACTGAGTGATTGCTGGGGGCCAGGCTGGGGAACAGGGAGCTTCCATCTGGTAGTGCTATGGGGACTTCAATGATGCCCTTCTTGGTTTTTATCCTTAGAAACTCCTCCCTGAACCGGCAAACTGACAGTATCTGTCCATAGTTTTTCTAGTTATTTTTTTTAATTAATTTTGATGCCTGATATGGAAGAGAGACACAACTTTTTAGTTTTAGTGTGTTTTTTTTCAAATTTTCAGCATTAGGATATAATCATTATATTTCAGTTTTTAAGAATGAAGTAGAACTCAAGTAAAGCATCCAGAGACTTACCATGTACAGCCTGATGCGTGTAAATAGGTAGCTACTGTCCAGATCAAAGTGTAGGGGCTGGGGTTGTGGTTCGGTGGTGAAACTCTTGCCTAGCATGTGTGAGGCACTGGGTTAGATCCTCAGCGCCATATCAAAGTAAATAAGTAAAATAACAGCATTATGTCCATCTACGACTAAAGACATTTTCTAAAAACCCTAAAACAAAACAACATCAACAAAGTATAGGACCTTCTATCCCCACCCTCAGGCTCCCATGCCCTTTACAGTCAATTCTCCTCTTTTTGGGTACAATGGGGGCATTCTCCAATGTCCATGGGGTCCAGTCTTACATGGGTCCTGCTGACACTAAGAGTTTCTTCATTGTCTATATTATAATATATATATATATAATGTTACCCAAGGGGATAATCCTGAGTAACATTTTACTGAGGGCTGCCCTGGCCCTGGACACTGCTTACAGGCTTCCCGCGCATCTACACATAACCTCGACTTGCCCTGGGTGCGAGTGCTGTCATTACATCCAGACTTTACTATAGAAAAAAAGAGAAGTGAAGCTCAGAGAGGCGAGGTGACCGAGCTGCTGACATGGCGGTCAGATCCTGAGCCCCCAGCTGCTGGGCTCCAGAACCTTCCAGACTGACTACTTCCTCTCTCCTGCTTAGGAAACCTTCCCCCACCATGGCAGTTACCTCTGTTACAACTGAAAATATTTTTATTCACTCAAATTGAATTTTATTTTAAACTTTTTATTTTGAAATAGTTTTAGATTCACAAGCTACAAAAATAGATTTCCCAAGTCCTCTTCACCTAGTTTCTCCCAGTGATAATATTTTATATAATCATAGTATATCAGGTAAAACTTTTAAATAACGATTTCCTATTCATAAAAAATCAGAGATAATTAATACTCCACATTATCTTGTCTTCTTTGGTGATTCCCCCCCCCGTTAAACCATGAATGACGATAAATTGTCCTCTTTGGCTGCAGAATGCCTGGAGCTGCCTGCAGATCCCAAGTATGGCCACTAGGTGACAGAGTTGAGCGCCATTTATTTTTCAGTTAATTATCAATTACGCCTGCGTGGCATAGAGTGAGGGATAGGAACAAAGGTCAAAAATCGAAGTGATGGGTAAGAGGCCCACGGGGGTGACCCCTCTCCTCCAGACCCTCTTGCTGGACTGCAGGAAGTGAAACAATGTTCATGGATTGGAGCCTGGCTGCGTGCTTGGCACTGCTGAGCCCTGTGCACCCAGAAGCTCATTTTACACTCGCCAGAGCCTTCAGGCTGACTCGACTTGCGATTATAGGCGGGAATTTAGATGCTCAGAATGTCACCAGCCAGTAAGAGGCAGAGCTTGCACTGGAATCTCCGGTGGAATCTTGACCCGGCTCTTCCCTCTCTGCAGGGCAGGAGGGGAGGGGAGCCCGACACAACTCCTCAGACGCCAGACTGTCTTCACCTCCTTCCCTGAAGGTTAGAATCCCCAAACAAGGCGAAGGAAGGGAGGCTGGTCCTGCGGGGCTGAGCATGCTCTGTGACATCACGGGCTTAGACTTAAGAGCCGCAGCACGGTCCGGAGGGCAAAGCCCGGGAGAGCAGCCCAGGAAGCCCCCGCTCCCGTCTGGCTTCCTCATCCAGGGTCCTGCTGCGCTCTGCAACCAAAACGTGCTCGGCTTCATTTCTGCTGAAGTTAGTCTATGAAAAACTCCTGCTCATTTTATTCTATTTTACTATAGAGTAAAATCAAGAAGGAAAAATACTCAGAAGGAAAAAACTCAAGATTTAAGCTCTTTAACTTCTAATTTACTATCCTCCATTTGTGTATGGGAATTCTTTTTTCACGTAAATAGGTATATAATTGTGGACTTTTCCCAGTTACCGTTATCATTCAGCTATTGACAGTGACACTGTTTCAAACCACATTTATCTCTTGCTCACATGTGGGTGAGCTAGGGTTGCTGGGTGGGGCTCTGCCTCTCATCCTCTAGGGACCAGAAGGCTATCTAGAACATGTTCTCCTGGCCATAGCAGAAGCCCAGAGGCAAAGGCTACCACCCAACACATCTTAAGCCTCTGTTTGCATTACTCAGGTTACCATGCCATTGGTCCCAGTGATTCACAGGACAGACACCAAGGCAAGGGTGGGGAAGGACGCTCAGCTTCTCTAATGAAAACACTTCAAATTCATTTGGCAAAGGGTGTGAACACAGGGAGGGGTAATGGATTGGGAACAGTAGTATCATTTACCCCCAAGTATTAAATATTCTTTGGAAACATAGTTTTTAGACACTGCACTCTTTTCTTGCTTATGAATATATCCTAATGTATTTAACCATTTCCCTATTAGTGGACATTTATTATGTTCATATTTTCCCTGTTATAAAACAGGGACACTATTACTGTCCTCTAAACTTTGGATGCAGTCCTAGATTATTTAAGAATATACTTATTACTTAAGTTCTTGATACATATTACCCTTCAGTAGAGGATAAAAGTGCTCATCTAACAGCATCATTATCAGTATTATACATTGTGATTTTTGTTTGTTTCTTCAAAGTCAAGAGGAGAGTGGATAAGGAAGACTAGGGAAAGGGGCCTAGCATTAGAGGTTCAGCCACTGAAGGGAGAAGAAAGGACACGGTAGAGAAGATGTAGAAGGAGGTGTTCAACCTGGAAGACTCCAAGCTTGAATGGTTGAGAAGACCTGGGGATATATCTCTTAGGAACCCTCTACTCTAGCTGTTGTTACCTATTGTACCTGGTGCTCCCTGGGGAAATGATACGTTTTCCTTTCAACTCTTCCTTATCCAGATGAGATCATCTCTCTGTGATGTAGGTAATATTTTCATCATTACTGAGGCCAACTGTTCTGCTCAAGAGATGTGGAAAAGCATGGTCCAACTATTCTCCAGAGAGCACAGCCCTTCGGCAGGGGAGAGAGCCCGATTCTAGTCACCAGCAGATCTTGCAGGTTGGAGCCAACAGTCAACTTCAGGCAGTGAGACACACCTTCTGCCCATGTGACTTCCTGCAGACACTTTTCAGCCTGTCCTTATACAGCCTGCTAGAAGCTGATCAGAGAGTCCTCCCCAGCACCCAGATCCTGCTGTTCCTGCAAGCCATAAGTTTCCCAAGCCTTGGCTTAGTTAGCCCTCAAGAGACTGGCTCTGGGCACCATTTTGGAGATGCCTAGCACCGAGTGAGAGCAGAGGCTTCAGAGCCAGGGAGACCTGGGTCCAAATTCTGCCCTAGGCACCTGCCAGCTCAGAGAACTGGGTACAGTTTGAACCTCCATGAGCCTCCCTTTCAGCATCTGCATGGTTATAATAACTACATCCTTCTTTTATTAATAATTAAATGAGGGAGGTGTATAGACAGCTCTCAGGACAGTGTCTGGCTCAGGGAAGTGGCCAGGAAAGCACATACTATTTTTTGAAGCTCTTGCTATTATTTAGAAGGAAACCCTCTAGCCCTCTCCTCTTCCTGTGTTCATGATTGAATCTCACTTCTGAGAAGTCATTGATTTAAATATTTCTTTCTCTTATAGCTGCTGGCCTGTTTGGAAAAGAGAGTGGAGGGCACAGAAGGCATTCTCAAGGTGCCCAGATGCCAGGCCAGGGTCAGGGTGCTAGGTTGGCTTCCTCCAACTCACCAGGGCTGTGTCGCCTCCCTTCACCCTGGCAGGTGGGCTAAGCCAGGAGAGGATCCAGGTTTGCCGTTGTTCTGTCTTTGGTCTGTCGAGGTGGTGGGATTTGAGAAAGGCTGGAAAGTGTAAAGGTGGCCCAGTGGAGCATGGTGATCGGTAACGGGTCCTGGGGGACACCGCCAACATGGAGTGAGTGGAGCACTGTGTTCAGTGCCTTCACACATTAGGCCACCTGATCCCCAGATCCACCATACGAGGGAGGTGCTGCTGCCTCACCATGCACACGAGGAAACTGAGAGCAGCTTAAACTGGAGCCTGCGGCAGCTTCACATGAGAGTCCCTCCTACCTGTAGGGGCTGGAACCCAAGCTGGAAAGGAGAGTTTGATGTCCCTGGCCCGTTGCGCAGGGAAAGTGATGGGAAGACAGACTCCCTATTCCCAGGAATTCTGTTTCCTGTGCTCTTGAGCTGATGGGGCAGGAAGTGTGAGTTTGCACACACCTGTATGAGCAGTGTGCGCACAAGCGCGTGTGTGGTGTGTCTCAGTGTATGTGCCTGTCGTGTGTGTGCCTGTGTGTTCACCTGGGTGTAGTGTGATAAGGGAGAGAAGGCTGAGGTTTTGCAAACTGCCGTCCTTGTTAGTCCTCATGGACCCGCGCGCCAGTTTCCTTCACTTCTTGACATGCGTGGGTTGAACTTCACTGCTTTATCCAACCTTGTATTTAAGGGTGTGTGTGTGTGTGTGTGTGTAGCCTGCAGACCTATATATACTGCATGGATCCATATTTCCATTGACGTGTGTGTGTGTGTGTGTGTGTGTGTTTCTGTCTGGACTTCTTCACAATTCAGTGTGCAGTCTGTATTATTCAACGTTTCATCACTGTGGCCAAAATACTTGACGAGCGCAACTTGACGAGCGCAACATAGAGGAGGAAAAGTTTATTTTGGCCATGGTGGCCTGCCGCAGTCCGGCTGCAGCAAAATAACGGGGGGGGGGGGGGGGGGGGGGGGAG